CATCTAGAGAAATAGACATAAATAACTAGGCTAGGGATAGTTCTAAAATTTATGGTGACTTAAACTATAGCTTCATAGTTTAATTAGTTGTTTAGGTACCTTGAGAATGAATTCAAAACTAATTGAAAATGGACTAATAATTTGGGAGAATAATAAGACACTTTAAAAATGATTGTCACTATAATTGATCAGAGTCAACTGAAAAGGTAGAAACTAAGAACTTATAAGGTGAGTCGTAATCCCCAGCGCTTCAATTGATTATTTTTTCCTCATCATTATTTTATTGATTTATTTTTATTATTTATATTTTCATCAAATTATCTATTTTATCTATTTTCTCAAACTATTAATTATTTTAATTAGTAAAAGCACAATTTTCTTGTGGATTCGACACTTAGAATACTCCAAGTAATTTATTACCGTGATCTCATACACTTACGAGAGCGATCAAGTTTTTGGTGCTATTGCCGAGGAAGTTATGAATTTACTGACTGAATGTTTGGTTCATTTTTAATTTTAAATTTATTTATTAATTAATTAATTATTTTTTATGTAATTAAGAAGTTATGGTGACTTAAATTTGATTCATATTAATCTAGAAATTGAACGATTTTGCAAAAAAAAATAGATCTTAAAGAAGAAGAAAGATGGGTGATGAAGCTATTCCAAAGCCACCCATTACATTTAGAGATATTCAATACCCATTCATCGCATCTAATCCATCCTGCATCCAACTAAGTGCTAGAGCGCATAATTATGAATTTAATAATATTCAATTAAAAGTGCTACCTAACTTCAGTAGGCATTGAACTGAAGATACCTCAGATTTTATACAAGAATTTTATGCGATAATTGATACATTACTACTAAATAATCTATCAGATGATGATTTAAAGCTGTATTGTTATGCTTATCAGAAGCTTCCATAAGCTCTTGGATGGAGATGTATAAGTAATTTATATTGAAATATTATTCTCCTCATAAGACTTTAGAATCAAGGGACATGATTCACTTCTTCACATAGCAAAATGGTGAATTGTTCCATAAAGCTTTGCAATGTTATAATCTCCTTATAAGCCAATGTCCCCATCACTAATTTTCACATATACTATTGATGGATTTTTTTATGATAGGCTCAATTATGAATTCCAATCAAAAGTTAATAATGTAACTTGGGGTGATCTAAGTAACAAATTTAAGTCAAATTCAAGGCAAAAGGCAGTTCGAGCAAGGAGGGCAATGGCTAATGAAGTTTCTACATCAAATGTCTCACATAAACTACAAGATTTAGCAAAGAGTTTAAATTTATTATTAAAAAATTTTAATTCTGTTAATTCCCTTTCTTCTTCTACTAATAATTCTCTTTATATAGGTTATGATGGTGATAATGTGGAGAAGGCTAAGTATATGGGAGCTGGTACTGATCGAGTTAATCCTAGGAATGACCTATACTCCAACACATACAACTCTAGATGGAGAAATCATCCAAATTCCTCTTGGAAGAATTCTTTCACTCAGGGGCCACAAGCACAATCAAGCTTCCAACAATAAAGAAACACAATTGAGGATCATACAATAAAGCTAGAGGAATCTTTAGCTCAAATGGCGACTTACCAAGTGAATAACATGAAGAGCATTAATCAAGAGATTGACCAACTTAAACAAACAATTGCTACAACTCAAGCTTCTATGAAGAATATGGAATCTCAATTGGATAATTCTTTGAGGAATATGGAGACTCAAATAAGAAATTTGGCTAGCTTAATTACCAGAAAGAGTCAAAATAAACTTCCAAACAATACTGAAGTCAATCCACTAGAGTATGTCATGGCAGTCACCTAACAAAATGGTAAAGAACTCTAAGAGGTTGATAGTGGAGCTAAAAAGATATCTAACAAGGTAAGCAAATAGAAAAATGATGAAGATGATGAGGTAACCGAGGTACCTAGAGTTAATAGTGCAACTCAAAATGGCCATTCTCCCTCTGAAGCCAACCCTTATATAACCCCCATTCCATATCCTAAGCGTCTTTGAAAAAAAGAGATCCAGATTTAGGCTTCTAAAATTTTCATGAAATGTTCAAGAAAATTCAAATTAATATTCCTTTTATAGAGGTATTAGCAAAGATGCCTTTATAGAGGAGTGCAGCATGGTTATACAAGAAAAAAAGCTACCACCCAAGTTGAAAGGTCCAAAAAGTTTCACTATTCCTTGTAATATTAGTTCTAATATTATTGAAAATTGTTTATGTGATTTGAGTGCAAGTGTTAACTTAATTCCTTATTCTTTATGTAGGAAACTTGGTATAATAGATATGAAGCTGATCAATGTGACTCTTCAATTCGCAGATAGATCACTTAAATATCCATATAGTATAGTTGAGGATGTCATAGTGAAATTTGATAAATTTTATATTCCTGCAGATTTTATTATCTTAGACATTGAGGATAATTGAAATGTCTTACTTATATTAGAAAGACCACTTTTAGCCACTGGCGGTGCCTTAATTAATGTTCCTAAGGAAGAATTAATATTCAAAGTAGGTGACAAAAAAAGGTATTTAAATTTACTAAAGCTACTAACCTTCTTATTTTTGAGAAATCATTACATAGCATATAGGTGACACAAGAAGAGGAGAACCATCCAAAAGACCCTCTTTTACATGCTTTAGAAAAAGAGGATGAAATTAGCAATAGAGAAAGGAGGGAGCTACAAAAGCATCCTAAAGATCTACCCACTAGTCCTCGCAAAAGTTCAAGCACTCATATATTGGAGTGAAATTGGAAAGTCCCTTACTCATTAACAAGAATTCTTTCCAAAGGGAAGATGAATGTTACTTGGGTAGGAAGGTGTCTTCTAATTCACGAAAACAAGGATTCATACGATACTCAAAAGGCATCTTTTGATTTTACAACGATGGCTAGCTATAGACATTAAAAGTAGCATTTGTTCCAAATTTTTTTAGTTATTTCATTTTCATTCTTATTTTAATTTGTTCATTTTACCATTTGTTATCCCCATAAAATTTTATTTGATTACTAAGACCCCTTTTAAGATAAATTACTCAAAAGGGATCTTCTTAAAGGTTATCAAAGTCACATCAAAGCAAATTAAACTAGGAAAGTTTTAGTTCCTTTATCTTTTTTTTTTTCTACAAACATTTAGGACAATGTGGAGTTTAAATATGGGGGAGGGTATATGTAACATTCCTAAAATTTTAAGACTCAGGTTTATTTTAAAATAAAATATCTATAACTAAATTAAAAGTAAGAATAATTTGATAGAGGTCCAAAGTTTAAATTTTACTAAGCAAAAATTTAGTTTTATTTTATTTTTAACTATGAGAAAAATTACCAAAGTGACCTAGGCTTTTGTGCTATAATAAAAAATGTTGGGTCTTTTCTTGTAATTATCCTGAAAATTTTTTAATATCAGTTTTAAAAGGGAAAATCACATAAAATAAAAAATGAAACAAGAAAGAAAAGGAAAGAAACATGAGACAGACAAGAGGAAGAAGAGAGGAGGAAGAGGGGGAGTGAGGTTTGAATTCGTGAGGCTTTATAGTCATTATGAGCTCGGCTACACGATAGGTAAATTGCCAACTTCAATCCTCTTCCTTCCCTCTTAGTTTTCTTGATTTTTTTGGAAGAGGTATATTTTAGATTTTGATCCCAAAAGCTTTATTCTTGTAAGCTTTAGTTTCCTTAGGTCCTAGGGAGATTGTTTTAAGTTTCTATATAGTGCTCTAATATTTTGAGTGAGAAATTGGATGAAAAATAGAGTTTTAGGAAAAAAAGTCAAACCCTAAGAGGTTAGGTTTTGCTCTTCAATGGTTTAAGCCTATTGATTTAGTTATAACTGTACTATTTGAATCCATTAAAATTTAAATTAAGCTTTGGTTTTTATTATAAGGACAAATGGTGAAAGTTGGTAATGCTGAGTGAAAGTTTTTAGTTGATTAAAAATTGTATGGTTTGAAAATTGGCCTAGTGGTGGCTAATAAATGATTTTGGTGGTTAAGCGATACTATGAGAATAGTTGGTTTAATACATGAATTATTGGCATGTATTATGGCTCATTCACCCAAGTTGTGTGGTATGAGTTATAGTCTTCTTTTAAGCTATTTTCCATGAAAAGTAATGTGAATCACTTATATGTTGTAGGGAATTGTTGGTGAAACTTATTGAAAAGTTAAGGAATAAGTCAAGTCTTATTTTGTACAAGGAGAACCTTTTTGGTACTAAAGGATTGAGATAACAGGGAAATTTATACTTTTTATTACTTTGTTTAGTTATTTTTGAATAAATATTACTAGCTATCATACATTACATGTTTTAAAAGATTAAATGTTCTTTATAAGGGCTTATGGGTACTACTTTGATAAAAGTGCAAATATGTTTTCTATTTGTTTAACAATAATATTTTTATGGAAATGAGATTGTTTGCATGTATTATAATCATAAAAAATGGAAGTTGCATTTAAGAAAGTATAACTAGGTTAGTACCTTAGATAGGCTAAGGAACCATTTAAGGGAGAATTATAAATATTATACTACCTTAGAGTGTCGAATTGGTCAATACTCAGGAAAGGTAGACAAGAGTAAAAGGCATGATTTTGGTGGAAGTTCACTAATAAGGAGGTATGAACTTGTAATATTCTATGGCACACTGCTAGTATTTAGTATTGCCTTACATATTGTGGGCTCGGTGCACTAAAGTGGTTAGTATATTATGTAACAATAAAAAAATTTTAATTTGAACAAAATTTCCTTCCAATGGATATTTTATTAAAATAAGTTTTTTGCAACTTTGATGTTATTTTATTTTAGATTATAGGAGAGTTTTGGGTCCTTTTTGTAATTTTTGTTGGGTCTTTTTTTATAGTTTTCCTGGTGCTTTTCTTATAATTTTCCCAAACTTCCTTATCTGATGGTATTTCTTCGCGTGAAAGAAAGAAAAAAAACAGAGCATTCGCGTTTGTTCTTCACCGACCATGAGTTCTCTCTTCTCATCACCATCGAACTCCATCTCTTCACCTTCGGCTTGCTCTTCCTCTCACAGGTGGCTGAACTGGTGCGTCTAGGCAGCTAGAAGTGGCTCACTAGGATCTGTTCTCCCTTTGCTGTCATCTTTTGCTTATCCATCCAGGTAGAGTGTCCGTGTGTGTGTGCTTATGTGTAGCTTCAATCCTTCTTGCTCTCTATCTGCTAAACATTTTATATAGGTGTATGATAAGCTAAATTTTTCTCTTTTTGTGGTCACGATTTCTGGTTTCCGTCTTCTTTATTTGAGTTGCAGAACAGAGCTTGCTTCCTTCACCAATCTCGACCACGTGCTGATCTTGAATTGTCATTGATGTACTGTAGTTTGAGGTAAATCGCTGATCCTCTCTTCTCCTCACTACAAAACTCATTCATTATCTTCCTCTTCGCTGTTCATTCGTGTTTGTCCGGTGATGATCTAAATTTTTGTTCTGTTTGGTGACTAATAAAGGTGGTGTAAGCATGCATATTCTGCCTTAGTTTTTCTTTTTCCTCTACTGCTAGGCACCGTGTATGTTTGTAGAGAAAGCTCAAGTATTATATATACATATATATATATATATGCTGATTCTGCTTCTTCCTCATGTAGAGCAACTAAGTTGAATTCTTCCTTTGTCTTTTGGTGTAGTCTATGAACTAAGTAGAGGCTGTTGTTTCTGCACTTCTATTCAAGGATAGACGGTGATCCTTTCTTCTCCTTTGAATTTATAGGCAGCGTGAATCATCCTTTCTCCTTCCCCTGGCCAAAGAATGTGTCTTTGCTCCTCCTAATGTCTGTTATAATTTTGAGGAAATTGATTTGTACTTTAAGTGGATGCTATATGTGCTGATGTAGTTTGGAGATGAGCTGAATGGTGATAATAAAGTTATTGTTAAAGGTTGGTTAAATTATCGGATGATTATTGTGAACCAAATTTTTTATATACTCGAGGTATTTGCAAGTATGCTTGAAAGAAGAAGTTGATGGGAATAGGATTATTAAAATTTTATTAAGCTTCGAAAAAGAGTTGCATTAATGATTGTGCTTGAATGTGTCTAGTGTTGTTGACTACTTAATAGAGGTTGTTGAAGGGTTTGGTGAGAATTTAAGGGGTTATTGAAAAATTTAATGAATAATTGAAGAGATTAAATGTTAATTTCACTTGCTTATATTAAGAAAGGAAATCATAATGACATGAAATATGGTAGTTTACATGCTAGATTAAATTGGGGCATAATTGAAGTAAGCAAGAAATTAAAAAAGTTTGACCATAAGATTTTTGAAAATTCAAGTGAGTGAGTGGCGTTTCGAATCAATTTCTAGTAAATGTTTATAAATCTCCTTCATTTAAATTTTACTATTATTCCTTTATAAATTGTACAAATACTCTTGTAATTCTAATTTTTCTTTCTAACAATTGTTTTATTATTGAAAATGCATTGATTTTACTTATTTATATTACTGATAAGTAATAATTGAAATGGATATACGACAAATGGTATTGTTTCTCAGAAGTAGTTTGATTATTTAATTCTATGTTGATAAATTTTTTTATGCAATTATTCACGTATGGAGGAAATGAAAATAAATTTGTGCAATGGAAAATGATAGTTGAATAGTGTTTGAAAATGAGAATTTTGATAATGCTTTCTTGCTCCATACACGCTTGGTTTTAATTAAAGGGGGACTGAGTTCAAAATGCTAGTTGCTAACAGCAGTTTCATTAGCCCTTGGTGTGCAATCACACACCTAGCTAGTAGGGTGCTATCGGAGGTGCTAGCCCCGTGTGACGGCCAACGCACGTGGAACGAAGGGATGTTTATTCATGAGTATCGTACTCACGCTTGTATTCATAGGCTTCAAGCCTACGCTTGGTTTATGGCTTCTACTGTGCTTGTTTCATGGCCTTTGGCTATGCTTGATTGGTTATTTACCCTCGTGGACTATGCATTCACGCTTGTTATTCGTTCTGATAAAGCCCTCCTAAAATTTCAAATTTAAATTTATCATTTTCAGAAAATGTTTTGAAAGTACTTTATCGAACTGTGTTTATTATAAGTTTTTATATTTTGTAAACAGTGAAATTTTTAATACCCATATGTGATTCTATCAGCCTTGTCTAAATTCACAATCACACTATTATGAAAAATCATTATTTATTTTAAATTTTGGATAATTCATTATTTCATTAAATTATTTGAAGTTAAATTTGTTATTTATTGTCTTTATATATCTTCTTTATTAAAATCTAGATTGGGACGCTACTCACCAATAAATTTTTAGTCCCAGTTATTATAACTGACCCTGCACCTCCGACTGACCATTAAGGGCCATTCTTGCTTTTTGGATAAAGGAAGTACATGGTGATTACTCTTTTTTGTGAAATCTTATATTGTATTTTGTAAATTATAAGTTAGTGCTTCACGTGCCATATAGTTGGATCCTAGTTTTTTTTTTGTTATTGTGAAAATTTCTAGAATAGAGCTAGTCTCCTTGCTGGTTTGATTGACAAGTTTTGTAGTTGTTATGGAAATTTCGAGAGGTTCAAATTATAGGGGGGACTCTGTCGAAATTTCTACAAAAACTTTAAAAACTTTAAGAACTTTACTATTATAGATAACTTGCATATGTCGCCAATTCAACTTAATTTCTAGATAATCAAGGCTTATGGAATGTGAGTTCATGTCATATTCCATGCGTCATATTCCATGCCGATCATACCCTTAGTATTAGGGTGTGACATATTAAGTGTTTGACACCTCTCAGTGAGGGAGAAAATCTAACATATAAAGTGTGAGGTTGAGTGTCTAGGCTAAGGTAGCCCTCACATGGAAAGTAAGTCGAGCTGACTTTGGAGGGAGTTAGCTTTGACTGCTTAGGATTCACATCGAAAGGGCATAGGAAGTTTGGTGGATTAAGTCTTACCTTAGATTATGTTTTGTGCCTGAGGAGGTACAAGTGGGTATAAGTTTACCTACGAGTTAAAGAGTGCCAAGGGGCATTTTGTTAGTTAAGAAGGCCATACTGGCCTATGTTATACATTCATGCATTTGAAATGACTAAATTATATACTATATTGAATCTATTATTTATTTATTTGATTATGGCTTACTTTGTAATAATTAATGTAGATTTCTGTATTGCTAAAATTGTGGTTGTCTCCCCCCTTTCTTTACAATATTTACAGGTCCAAGCGAAGGATCCAATAGTAGATGGGAAAAAGAGCCAAACTAGGAGTTTGCTTGTGATTTATAAAGAACAACATCCCCTTTTCTTTTGAGCAAGTATATTGTAATGTATTTAGGATTAGGGTGCTAGTAGAATGTGACTATACATATATGTGAATATGTGTAGATTGTGTGCTTGTGTATGAATTTTTGCCACTTGTAGACTTATATTTAGGAAACTTGGTTATGATGTGTGGTTTTGATATATTCATTTGATAGACCAATTTTTCACTATAAACAAATGTTTATTTGTGTGTGTGCGTGTGTGTGTGTGTGTGTGTGTGTGTGTGTGTGTGATTCTACATGCAATTGCAAAGTGGTTGCATTGCGAATTGTATGCTAAAGGAAAACATACACCTTGGATAGAGAGAATGGGTGCATGGGCCCCATGGGATCTCTTAGCCAAGTGAAAATGTTTAGCATGTGCATTTATATAAATACATGATGTTTGGATTGATTTTTTACCACTCTTGTATGATTTATATATTTTAGGGGTTTAGGGTCCATTTTGAAAAATGGCATCTGAGTGGTCAATTTTGATGTATAGGAGTTTTCCATCATTTGAATATTCTACTAGGTACTCTTAGTCCTATTATATGTGTCTAAAGTGTTTCCACAACTTTGTAACCCTTAGGATGAGATTTGGATAATTTTGAAAACAGTTTTTATCAAAAAAACTGCACTTTTACATCTAGGTATCCAAATCTCAATCCGACTATTGAATTTCTCTAAAATTTAGGTCACAAGTAAAAATTTTATAAGCTTTGTGTGGGCTTTAGAATCACATTGATCAAACACCAAATAGAGAAATGGTGCACTTTAAAATTTGATCCAGAGGTGCTATCATGACAATATTAAATTGCTGTCATGACAGCAACGGTGTTGATGTTGGAACACGTATAAATTTTAATCCATTCATTGGATCTTTTTAAAATTCGGTACACTTGTAGTACTTTTTGAAAGTGACAAATGGATTCTTGAATCACTCTGATTGGATGTCAGATGATGGAATGGTGCATTCCAGAAGTTGGTCCAAGGTGCTGTCATAATAGCAAAAATGTCCAAATTTGTAACGTGTCCAGATTTTAATCTGACTGTTGGATTTTTTAAAATTTGGAACACTATTAATACACATTATAAGTGACATGTGAACTTTGCAATCACTTCAATCGGAGGCCAGATGATGAATTGATGCCTCTCGGAAGTTTTCTCGGGAGGGCTGTCATGATAGATTAATGCTGTCATGACAGCAATTAAATGTCCCTGTTTGCCTAGTTTGCTTCCATGCACTATATCATAATTCTTTATACTTTTCTAAAAAAATTAATTTAAATGTGTGTTTTGCTATTGTGTAGATTGTTTGGTATTTTAAATAGTGTGTTTCCTAAGTTGATTTTAGGATCAACTCTTTAACCACACTTAGTTTATTTGACTTGGGTGATTTTTGGATAACACTTGGGGCAAGTGTCATAGTGTATCATGATAATTTTCTATTACTTATATTGTCATGATTTTCTTAACAATTTACATGCAGTAATTGGCCTTATTTATGAAAATTTTGATTTTTTTTTTGGAAATTTTTGCTTTTTTGCACTGTTTTATTTAGTTGTATAACTACTAAGGGCAACTATATGTTTTAGAAAGAATCTAAGGCTGCCAATACCCATGAGAGTTTATCAAAAATATACTTAATGCACATATTATCTATCCCATTTATTCATATCTATGCCTAAAAAGTTAACACCTTATAAAGTAGTTAAAAAGGGAAATGATCCTATAAAAATGAAAAAAAAAAAGGAAAAAATGCTAAGTATCCACTTAGCTGATGCCAACTGGGCCTAGTAACTGAGGGCCTTTATCACCAATGTTGGTTTTCACGTCGAACATGTTAGTAAGTGTCAAGAGTGTGCCAACAAAGTTCCCTAAGTCTGAGTAATCAAGCCCTTGCATCACTAATATGAAGGTTCGCGTCAAAAGGACTTAAGAATTATTTAAGGAAGAAAGGCAATTCATGAATAGCTAATAATGGTGACCACATTACACTAACTCATTAAAACAAGTAAGGTCCAAAGGTATAAATAAATTTATTCTATACATAAGTGCTCAATCAGAACTAATTAAATTCACTCCATGTGGTGGTACTGGCGAAATTATTAGTTTTCTCTCTCACATTGAAGTTTGGTAGGTTGGTTGTACAATTAAGTTTTACTAGTACTCTGAGCAAAGGTCCTACATTTGATATACTTATATAAGGAATGAGGCTAAATGCAAAAGTATTCGCTTGAGGATAAACAACAAGCTAACTGTGGGAGATTCGATAAGTAAATATTTTATAATTAAATAGGTTTAAATTTGATCATATTTATTAAGATTTCATATCTATTTAATTAATATTTATATATTTTCCTCTCATCACTTAATTATAAGATAAAAAGAAATTTTGATGCAAAATCTACTCATATATTTCTTTTCTATATGTTGCAGGAAAATAATAGATTAAACAAAAGGAAGGAAATGCAGAAAAAGAAAAGAATATATATATATACTGAAGGAGAAGATTTTCATATATCATATCATGAGCAAATAATATATATATATATATACATATATATTAGAGTTCCAAGTTGAATATGAGTAAGAAAAAGAGCCTCTACTTTAACTATAAATAATCCCCTCCATCAAGAGAGAATGCATCCAATCACTTATATAAGTATCTCAAGAATTTTCTTTAAGATATTTTGAGCTCGTAGAAGCATTCTGAATGCTAAAATCAAGATCATTGAGGAGTTCTACAAATCATAAATATTTCTTTTCTACACTGTAATTTTCTTTGTGATCATTTTTCATGATTAGGAATTTTAGAATAGTGTTATTGGATTTTATTATATATTTCTAAATTATCCAGTTGGGTAGGAATGTAGCCTAATTGGGGAGCTAGTTTTCTACTTTCTTTATTTTAACTCTTTACATTTATATTTATGAATATTTTTTTTTTCCAATTATATTTATTTCTCTTATTCTTCATATTGATTTTATGACTAGCCATCATTTAATTAAATCTATGGGTAATCTTGATAGACTAGAAGGTGAAGAGAGGACCTACATCTAGAGAAATAGATATAAATAACTAGGCTAGGGATAATTCTAGAAATTTGTGGTGATTTAAACTATAACTTCACAGTTCAATTAGTTGTTTGGGTATCGTGGGAATGAATTCAAAACTAATTAAAAAGGGGCTAACAATTTGGGAGAATAATAGGACACTTTAAGAATAGTTGTCACTATAGTTGATCAAAGTCAACTAAAAGAATAGAAATTAGTAACCTATAGGGTGAATCATAATCCCAAACGCTTCAAGTGATTGTGTTTTCCTCATCATTATTTTCTTGATTTTTTTATTATTTATATTTTCATCAAACTATTAATTATTTTAATTAGTAAAAGCGCAACTTTCTTGAAGGTTCGACACCTAAATACTCCAGGTAATTTATAACTGTGATCTCATATACTTGCGAGAGTAATTACCATCTATATAAAAAGACACTAAAATCAAAAGAGATAAATATAAAAGCAAACATATAAATTTCATGGACAAAATCCAATGTTCAATAGAAAAAATAAATAAAAATAAATATAAGAGAAAAACTATCTTAGCTAGGCTACGCCCTACCCTGACTTGAAATTTAGAAACAACTCATAGAGAAATCACACAAATCCTCAATAAAAGACATGGACAAAATCAAAGGAATAAAGAAAGATGAAAAACTCTCAACTCAAATAAACTCCTTCACGCTCCGTACTCTGCCTCCATCCCTCAAATGTCAAATTTGATGATCACAATGAAGCTCCATGAGGTATTATTTATAGCTTTCGCACCATGAAAACCTAAAAGCTCACTAGCCCAAATCTCTTTAGTTCTTCTATTTTACATATTTTAATTATGGATTGATTCTCTAGCGGTCGTGCCTTTCTGATTTTTTAACCGCAGGCAGTTGTGCCCTTAGTAATCTCAACCGATAATGATTGAAGCACGTATCAGCCTTTCAATCTCCCACTGTCATGTCTTTCGTATTTTCAACCGTCGACGGTCAAAACATGTATCAATCTTTCAACCTCCCATGGTCATGTCCTTTCTATCTCAACCGTCGGCAGTCGAAGCATGTACCAATCTTTCAACCACCCATGGTCGTGTTTCAACCGCCGGCAGTCTTTAACAAAACCCACAACTCATTTCAGAGGGCTTCATTCGCGATCGGTGACACACCGTTGCTTTCCTGTCTGCAACCGAACGTAGCGAGACTTATGATTCTCATCTCTTTGGTGTGTTTATTTGTCCTTTTTAGCTCCCTTACTCTACAAATCACACAAAGTGCTATGTGAGGTAAAATATATATATATATATATATATATATCATATATTTTTATGTCATAATTTCTTCAAATTGAGAGCTAAAATATAACAAAAGTAGTATAAAATGGACCTCTCAATGTTCTTGTCCCGTGGTCGTGCACATTATGAAAGCCACATAAAATATTTTCATATATTTTTATCAACAAGTATAGTGTGACAGGTGTTAAAACCAATTAGGATAGGGGCGTGTGGAGGTTGAGTTAGGGGTTGTATGTTATGTGTTGGAGTGAGTGATATATGTGTGTGCCCCTTCCTTCCCTATGTGGATAGGGTTGGATAAGATAATTAAAAAAGAGGTGCGACCACTCCAGTGATGACCCCATCTTATTTAAAAGAATTAATCATAAGACAATTCAACTTATTCGAAAAATTAATTATATATTTCAACCTATTTGGAATAATTAAGAGAATTTCATGTCTGTTTTTTAGTTTTTCATTAGACAAGTTTTTGGAATGCATTAATAAATATTTCATATAACATCTGATTGTAAAAAAATAAAAAATTAAGGAGAATGATAAATAATAACCTTATAAGAACATTAACGTTAAGTTAGAATCTCTTCTCAATTAAAATGTTCAAATTCAATACACATTCTTCCATGTTTCAATACTAAAATATTTAAAAATTATTAATTTAATATTAATTTTCTTTTGAGATCTGTACTCCTTCTCCCATTCCCTCCAAGTATCTTATATGGGGAATAACTATATTAAATAATAAAAATGATCTATTTACAATGTGGAGCTCGCAAATCGACCTCCCTTTTTCTCTGCCTCTTCGGTACTGATTTCACTCACTAGTTTTCTTCTTCTCATCATATTTTCTCATCCTTTGATTAAAAATTTAACGGTTGAGATTTAATATTTTATAAAATTATTACAATAACATAAATAAATAAATAGATTTAATTAAAAAATGATCTGGGAAATTCACAACTATTAATTAATCGTAGACTAAAATTAAATAAAAAATTAATTTGATCAAATCTCAATTATTGAATTTTTAATCCAAGAGTAAGGATGGATGAGGAGAAGAAAAGGAAAAAGATAATGAGAGGATACAGATCCAACTTAGCCTCACTTTCCTCGTTCTTTTCTTTAAAAAATGAGGGAAATTGGAGAGAAGCACCATCCAGCAGGTCCAAGTAGTTGGAAAAAAGTCTCATTGAAACATTTCATCCGTCCCTAGTTTTTCGGTGTCAATATCTCCAGAAGCGAAAAGATAAATAAATCTTTTAAATATCTTAATGATGATGCGTTGGAATTTTCAAGAAAAATTGTACCATTTTATTTTGAAAATTGACATGTTTGGTTAATTTTTAAAATAAAATGACAAGTTTTCAGGAAACAATAATTAACATGAGAGCTTGATACACCTAACATTGCTTTTTCAAGAAAAATAATGTATCATTTTATTCTGAAAAATTTACACACTTGGTTAATTTTAAAAATAGGATGACAAATTTTCAGGAAAAAAATAATTAATTAACTAAGAGGTTGATGCCTTGACTTTGATTTTTCAAGAAAAATATATCATTCTATCATGAAAAATTTACATGCTTGGTTAATTTTCAGAATAGGATGACAACTTTTTAGCAAAATTTTCCAATAATATTGTAGAGTCTCCAAATTCTCTTCAACAGTCTGCAATATTCTTCTATTGCCTTCAAAAATAATCTTCCACAATTTGCACGTAACTACAACTGCAACTTTCTTTCCATGAGCCAGCGAGTATCCGCGAAAGTCTTTTATCTCTGGTCCTCTTCGAGATTGTTCAATACTCTTCAATTTTCAGTACCAGTCTTCCATTGACCAAAAAAATCTTCTATGATCTACACGTATTTGTAAATTTGCACATAACTGCAAAAGTCTTCTATCCTTGGTTCTCTTTGAGAGTTTTGGGAGAATATCTATAAAAGATTCTTAAAACAATTTATTATCTAATAAGGACCCTGGATATATCAAATAGTTGTTAAAACAATAATTTCACTTGTTAATTTGTTAATGTTCACTTGTTAGATCCTTTTAAAGATCTTTTATTAATATTCTCTCTTTTTTCCCTTAAATAATATATTTTTGTTGACATGCAATAATAGTAATAACTCCGTAAGTATTAATTCTTCATTAACAATCCAAGAGTAATATTGAAAAATTTTGAAACTTTCAAACCAGTAACTAATAATTTTAGTCATAATCTAATATTTATTATTGATTTCCATTTTAATAATATTGCAAGTAATACAGAGACATCTATCTTAACATTTGAAGAAAAGCTTCACAAGAGGATTGTCACTTCGAACTTCATAACAATCATAGCTCTTATCAAACGCTTTCGCGAGATGCTTCTTCAAAGTCAGCTAAGACTCCAAAGTTCACAAACATACATATACCCTGGAGGTGTATGGACTATGGTCATTTATTGCAGCACACAGTGATAATCGATAAGAAATTCACCTGCATTATGAAAAAATTAATTAGGTCAAAAAAGGGACCCTAGATAAAAGAAAAGCTATACAACTTTCCTTTATTTCTTACATGTTTTTTTAATTATTGATCTGATTAACATATTTTAAATACTAGTTATAAATGCAGCAAAAGATACTTAAACAGTTTAAAATGAAAAGCGAAAGAACATAAAAAAAACTGTAATATAGATGAAAAAACAAAAATGTTTCACATTCCGTTAAATTAATATATATATATATATATATATATAAAAAGTAGTTGAAACCACCTTTTAGCCATACCTCATCATTTTCGGCCGACCAGGATTCCAATCAAGATTTGTGGATCTAGAAGTTCACGCCATGCAGCCCCAGCTTCTCTTGAGTAATAGCATTAAGCTTTTCAATCATGTCAAAGGTCAGAAAATTTTCCCCATCTCCAATATCTCCACGCCTAAAGTAAATGTTATTCTCTTCCCCAGTCAATAATTTTCCAGTCTTATTCACTTCCAAGTTGCTCAAATTCTCAAAACTACAAAGCTTCATTATATCATTGATAACATTACCACTCTCTTCCTCCTCAGTAAATCCATGCCCTATAAATTCAGCTAAGTCCTTCAAAACTCTTACTGGCTCGCTCTTCAACTCCTCATACGTCAAAAACATTACCTTATTTGGCCTCTCCAAACTCTGCTTGTGGTATCCCAAGATGTGATCCCAAAACGGGCCACAAGCACTCCTTCCTTCGCAAAATCTCTCAAATGATTCCTCAACTGACCTGGGCTCTTGGGCTTGTGGTAGTAACTTTCTGATGAAGTGCCACAGTGATGTGAACATATCCTTTGGATTTCTACACAAGTACACGATCTTACAAGTTGACTGCTTCACAGACTCTGGCAATGAAATGTATGGCATGTGGCTTGCAAAGAGCCTTGGTGATGGGAACGAGCACAGATCGGGGATGTTTTTATGGATGTAGAGATTGATATCTAAAAAGGGCACAAGATCATGAGGGTTTGCAGTGACGAGAGGGTGAGGGTGACATTGGTTCTTATGAAGATTTGGATTTGGGTAATGGATCTTGCGATTCAGAATCGCATAGGCTAAGGCTTTGAGCCAAGTGGTGCCAGATTTTGGAAGGGTAACAATAATTATGTCAGAGTCACGAGCTATGAAGTGTTTCTGGCTATTAAGGATACCTTGCAATTGTTTGGTGGTGTGCCAGAAACCATTATATTGATGGATGGTAAGTGGTTGCCAAAATGTATCGCAAGGTAAGGTGGCAATGAGTTGCTTGTTTTCTTGGGTTAATTCGACTTTCCGGAGATACTTGGGAACATTGGAGTTCTGAGAGTTTTCTGCGGCCATGGTTATAGTGAGAACACTTGAAATCAATGATTAAGTCATGAAGGTTTATATATATGTGTGTGGAAAAATCAAAAGCATGGATATGTTCTGCAATGCCAAACAACAAAGGTAATGGACAGGTGGAGCTTTGCCTTAGCCCAACCTCTACATCCATATATCGTGTCTATATTAATATTCACAACCACGTGGCCGATATTAGATATTCCGAAAGGATATAACTTCCTCAACCCCCCCTCCCAAAATATTGAAAGAAGATATAAATTAAATTTAGAATTTTAAATTAAATATGATCATATAAGAACAAAAGTTGCATAAATGGTTGCAAGACATGCCACGTTGGATTTGAATCTTATAGATAGCTTAAATTTACTCATTCAATGAATATCTCAAGTATCGTTATTCAATTTCATCGATACTTTAAAAATTATCAAAATATATTTTATTTCAAAAATTTAAAATAACTCTCACGATCATAACACTATTTACATACACTGTCATGTATAAAATTGAGATTCAATATTTCTAAGTATCATATGATAAAATCTCTAACAATCGTTTTGATTAAATTGAACCGTTGGTACGATACACAATGAATGAACTTGTATTACTAATCAAATCCTATGCGTACCAGTTCAAAGTGGCAATTTGTGACAACAATAGATAATGACATTGATATCTAAACTATATTAAAGTTACGCATAATTTTACTTCCCTCCGTTGTATAATGCTAACTCATGCTAATATTAAAAAATATACAAACTACGAAAAACTATCAAAATTGATGTGTTATGTAGAAATTAGTTGTCATGGGGTTTTACTTTGATTTCGATACACATTCATATTAAATATATATGTCAAATGATCTCAGTGGGATTTAGATTAGTTTAGGCCCGAAATGATAATATCTTAAGTTTTCCAGAAAATACATGCAATATAATAATAAAAAAAGCATTACAAAAAACAAAACCCAGTGACCACTTGTCACTAGTCTTTGGCGTCAGACGGAGCACATGTTGGCCGACACAACAATTCATATCACTTGCATCCCCCATCTTCAAAAAAGACAAACAATTAATGAACCAAAGCACAGTAGTATACCAGTACAAATTCACCCCACTTGCCATAAAGAAAACCTGAACTTTCATTATAAAAAAAATCTGAACGAAAAAAATAGTTGTGATACTTTTTATAAAACGGTGAAGTATTTGCAACGAATATGATATAATAGAAAATTTCGTGTAACGCTACTCTATTCGTTTCAAAGCATAAATTATTCTAAATAAGTGTGTTTTTGCTAAGACAATCATGTTGAATTATGCAATATTCATGTTCACATTGATCATTTTCATTGGCTCTCTCCACTTCCTTCCCTCACATAGGGGGCCGTGTGAAGAGATTTTAGCAAATTATTTAAGAAGCTAATAGCTAACGCATTATTATTTATTTATCTTTATATTATTTTTTCATTTTTTTAGTGAAAAAATTATATATTAAAATTTTGTAATCAAGTAATTCTAACATTTCTTCTTCTTCTTCTTCAAGAAAAGGAGACAAAAATAGCATGAAAAATACCCTAAAATCACTACTAAAAAAGCAACTTTTTATGTTGCTTTTTAATGTTAGTTGAGCAAAAATCCATTGTTAAGAAAAGGCAATGGCAATTTTATAGATAAGGCTAAGTGTTTTAACATTGGTTATATGAATAACTGATGTTAGAAGAATATTCCACGTCGGCTCTTTGAATAACCGACATTAAAAATATTAAAAAAATAAAAAAGAGGAAATTTGAAAATTTTCAACATTAGTTTTCATAAATCGACGTTGAAAAGAGAAAGAACATCGGTTTTTCAAAAAAAAAAAAAATGTTGTTTCTCTTTAAATTTAATTTCACTTTGCCCCCCGTTCGAACAGCCATTTCTTTTTTTCTTCTTTCTCTCTCCTCTCAAGTTCTCTTGCTAAACTAGCCCAGCCTTTGAAGCTTCAACCTTTGTCCACTTTTGTCATCGAGGAGCTCCGTTCACCATACGTCAACATTTGTTGGCCATCTCATTTTGTTGTTCGTAGTCAAGCTCTGTTGCTGTCAATCTTCATCTTTGAAGCAAATCCTTTGTTGCCATCTCTTGTGCATGGGTTCAAGTGAGTTCTTTGATTTGGATTGCCATTTGTTTTCTTCCTTCTTCCCTCTTCTCCCATTGTAGGTGGATCTTCTTCAGATGCATTTTTTTATCAGTGGATGATTACTCCTTCTTCCTTCTCCCTTATTAGGTGTTACTATAAGTGGGTTTTTTGAGTTGTATTTTCTTCTTCAGTAGATTTCAAATAAGTCTCATTATCATTTTTCTATTTTTTATTGATTTATGAAAATTATTGTAGTTGGATTTGAATTATTGTCTTCATATTTTTATTTTTGTTCTTTGTAAATTTTTATTTTTTTTTTTGATATGTTGTTTATGTTAAGGGGAGAAATTGAAATTCTTTGATTTGTTGTTGAGTTTTTGATAAAATGAAATTTATACTTTATAAGAAGAATTAAATTTATTGTGATAAATTTTGTTGTGTAATTTGGATAGTTAAGGTTTTAGAATTATTATGTTTTCAATAGATATTTTCAATTGTTGATAGATAGAATTTTGTGATTGCTGAAATTTTAGGATATCCTATTTTAAAGGAAAATATATAGGTTTTAAGTTCTAGATGTTAAAAAACAATTTTTTTTTAAAAAATAAACTTTTAACAATGGTTAATGGAAAATCATTGTTAAAATAACTTTTAACAACAGTTATCTAGAATAACTGTTTCAAATAATGGTTGTTAAAAGTTAATTTAAAAAAAATTAATTAATTTTTGCATACTTTCCACATCGGTTAGTTATATAACCAACATGGAAAGTGATTTTTGACATCGGTTAAATAATCGATGTTAAAAGTCTAGTTTTCACTTTTTTTTACTTCTCCTTAATAACCGACATTAAAAGTTTAAAATAACAGTTGTTAAAAGTCCTTCTTGCAGTAATGAATGCGAAATTCAATTCCAAAAATTTTGACTAGGGGTAGACGTGCACAACCAAGGGCGAACATTCATGTCCATGGGCAGATGAAAGGAAAAAATGATATTTAAATCATTTTAAATTATGTATCATCTTACCTAATGAGATATGGCATAATTTAGATGGATTCTAAGCCTATGGGGGTCAAATTTATTATGAATAACCCTCCCAAAAGCCTCTCAACACATCCAATTTCATGTCTAATGAGATAAGGCATAATTTGGATGGATTCTAAGCCTATGGAAGTCTTTTGAGTTGGGAGCTTTCTCTCTTCTCTTTTTCTTTAGATTCTTTTTATGTCTTTTATCTGGGATTGAATTTTGACTCTATGAATTCTTGCTAAACTCTTAGTCTGGGTAGGGAGTAGCCTGACTAGAATGGATTTTATTATTTATTTGATTTGAATTATTTCTCCATTGAACATTGAATTTTTTTGTATATGAAATTTATGTTTTCTATTATATTTATCTCTCTCATTTTCATTACTTTTTATATATGTGGCTAGTATATAATCTACTTGTGGGTAGTTTGATGAATTAAAAGGTGAAAAACTTACCTAGATCTAGAGAGATAAATGTAGATAAGTAAATTAAAACTAATTTAGGAGTATGAGGTGGCTTAGATCATAGCTTCATGGTTTAGTTAGAGAGTATAATTTAGTGAGAGCTAGATTTAACTCTAATTAATTACAACCTACTAAAAGATAATTAGTACACTTTAGAAATAGTTGTCACTAAAAAAAATGGAAGATAATTAACTGAATTAGGATAATCCATCTTGGTATATGAATCTTGATCCTTGGTCTTGTTTGATTGGTTGATTTATTGTTTTCATTGCTTTTATCAATTTTCTTATTTATTTACTTTATTTAATTATTAAATATTTTTCAAAAATCCTTATTTGTTTCCTTAAATAATAAAGCTCACTGTCTCCTTTGGGTTTGACCCAGAATACTCCGAATTTATTAATATATTGATATCATGCACTTGCGAGAGCCTATCAATGATTTATTCCAAAATAATAAATAAATAAATAAAGTCAAGCAACATTTGCATCAAACCGGACAAGTTACTTTTCTATTTTTTATTTTTAATTCATATTTTAAATTATAATTTATACATATTTATGCCTAATAAGTATTATGAAATGAAAAAAATGCAAGCAATATGTATGAATTGTGTGTGTGTGTATTTTAAAGTTATAAATTATAAATTATGAAATAATTATATATATATATATATATATGGATGAAAATGATGTAATATTGATAGATATTATCTTTTTATTGTATTTTTTTTTGAAATTTAAATACTCATTTTTCTTACTATATATGATTTTTTTTTATACTTTAAACATATAATATTCAAAATATATCAATTTATTTATTCATTGAACCATAAACCAGTATCTTGACCGATTCAATAGCCAGTTCAGTTTTCATAACATTGATTAAAACAATAATGATACTTAATTGTCACATAATCTTTGTGTCAACAAGATCAAATTATATTAAAGTAAAAAAATAATCCATATAAAAAATTTCGATAATTTGGTTGTTACAGAAAGAGGTAATCATTTTCTTGAACATCATCCCAAGTCCCAACCATAATCTCTTAACATTGTAGACTACGTATAATTTGGTTGTTCCTTAACCACACATATGACTTATATCACAATTCCAAAACTTTAAAAACATGCACGCGCACTACAAAAAAATAGACTTTTGTTGTCACCGTCAAAAGTCCAAAAGTTGCCGCTAAGAGTTTTTAATGGCGACTTTTCACTACTAAAAGGTTGTCGCTATAACAATTGTTGCTAATAGATTTTGACAGCAACACATATTGTCGCTGCCAAAAGTATACTTTTAACGGTGATATTAGGTTTTTGTCGCTAAAAGTATTTTTGGTGGCAACAAATATCGCTACCAAAACTTTTATTTTAAGAAATAATAATTTATTTTATGTCACAACACTCTGCCGCATGTGCATTATGTGATGCCACGTTACCTACCATATATG